ACTATAGCAATCGAATTAAAAGTTTTCAGTTATGATTCAGATCTAGAACTCAATATTTGGATTTCAATTTATTAAATTTAAGAATAAAAAACTGGATCATGAACCGTGAACTGGCGGTTCCGGATCCAATTCGCGATTTTGAACCGTCTTTATTTTAAAATTTTATTTTTTATTTTAAAATAGTCTAAATTCAACAATTAATGTATTTTATTTTTTCAGTTCGGAACATGAACCGGTCATTCCGGTTCGCGATTTTAATAAACTCTAAATATCGCGTTTTGATTATAAATTGTAATTGGAATATTTTGGTTTGGTTGCTATAGTATCTGTTTGGTTTGAACCAAATTATAGTAATAATTTGTTGGAGAATAAAAATAAATGAAATATTTATTTTAAGGGTAAATATGTCCATTTAACATTTCAGGGGGAAAAAGAGCCACTTAAATAATTAAGGGGGAAAAAGTGCTATAAGTATATAACTTAGGGGGAAAAAGTGTCATTTTTCCTATAATAATTTAACTTTTTTTTTTTTATTTGAATGTGGAACCTACATGATTGGTGAAAGAATTAACTTTCAAGAGCACGTGGTATACATGTCCCAAAAATAGAACCAAGTTAATACCAACTTCCTCAAAAAAAAAAAAAAAAAAAAAAGTTAATACCAACTTGTTAGAATTCAAATTACTCTGATTTTGGAGTTATATTAACAATTTGTTTATTAATTGTTCAAAATATTGCACTGAAAATATTTGAAAAATAGTCATATAACCAAAAGCAAAACAAAAGTTTCTTTCTTGAAAAGTAAAAGATTTGGTAGAATAATTTAACTTCTTAGTATTTTGAATATATTATTTTGTTATGAGAATGTGAAACCTGCATTTTTTTTTTGAAATAATTAACTTTCAAGTGTACGTGAGATACACGTTTCGAAAAGTATAAACAAGTTAATATTAACTCCCACAAATTTTGTCGGGCCGAAGCGTGGAGAGTCCTTAGAATTTGAGATTCAACCTATTGAGAACAATGTAAAAATGGTCATGTGTTAATGAATGATGATAAAGTCTCACAAATTTCTAAAAAATAGTATGAATGTCTCATAAAATTTATCCAATTTAGTATAAAATATGAATGTCTCATAAAATAGTATAAAGCATACCTTGTCTATGACCTTGTGGTCTAGTGCCATTAAGTTGTTATTTCATATGGGTGTTGTGGATTCGAGCTAGATACTGCATTATAACAGAGTCAGTGGTACTAATATATATATATATATATATATATATATATATATATATAAAGTATACTTTATTTATACTATTTTACATTAAAGAATCGCTTTTATTTATAAGGCACACGCGCTATCGTGCGAGTGTTTTAAATAAGTTTTTTTTTTTTTTTTTTTTTTTTTTGAAATTGTGTTTTAAATAAGTTAAATTGTTACTTTTTGAACAACTTTCTCAGACGTTATGCCATGGAACCGTGTTCACCATTCATGGTGAACACGGTTCCAACGGTGTTAGTGCACCGTTATCTTTTTTTTTTTTTTTTTTTTTTTTCTTTTAATTAATTACGTGACTGCCTACACATTCACTTTGGAACCATGCCTACACATTCACTTTGGAACCATGAGATTATGAATTTTCTGTTATGAGATTATGAATTTTCTGTTATGAGATTATGAATTTTCAGTTATGAGATTATGAATTTTCTGTTATGCGATTATGAATTTTCTGTTATGAGATTATGAATTTTCATTACATTCATAATTTCGGAGTTTCGGACATTCATAAATTATGAATTCATGCATGCATATTCACTTTGGAACCATGCCTACATATTCCCGTCCGAAATCACGGACATTCATAAATTATGAATCCATGTCTGCACATTCACTTTGGAACCATGCCTACACATTCACTTTGGAACCATGAGATTATGAATTTTCTGTTATAAGATTATGAATTTTCTGTTATGAGATTATGAATTTTCAGTTGTGAGATTATGAATTTTCTGTTATGCGATTATGAATTTTCTGTTATGAGATTATGAATTTTCATAAAATTCATAATCTTATAACAGAAAATTCATAATTTGATCAGTAACGCGCCGTTAACTCCACATCCGCGATTTTTTTTTTTTTTTGCCTAAAAACGACGTCGTTTTGACTTGTGTTCACCATTCTCGGTGAACACGATTCCACGGCATAATATATTCAACTTTCTTCACATGATTGCAAATACATTTTTTCTAAGCTCACTATTTTGTTCCTTGTTGGGCTTTGAGTTCAAGGCCCATATATGCCTTAAAATTTTGTTGTTTTTGTTTTCATCCACTTTAACGAAGCCTGTTAGTCAGTTTGGGCTGCAGCAGGGGGCAAAATGGCCCAATAAAGTCGGGTTATGGCCCATGACTCAAGGGTACAATTGTTATACCATATACTAGGCTTCATATTGCATTATGGACCATGGTCCATAATGCATTCAAATTATATACCAAGTACATGGCAAATTATGATGTGGAACCGTCTCCACCTTGTAAGGTAGACTTCTAAAACTGTTCATAATTATGAGAATATAGTTTAAAAATTATGAACATATAGTTCTATAATTATGAACATAAAGTTGTGAACATAATTATGAATATATAGTTCTGTAATTATGAATATAGAGATTTAATAATTGTATGAAGTTCAAAAATTATGAATATATAACTTTATAATTATGAACATATAATTCAGTAATTATGAATATAGAGTTCTGTAATTGTGAATATAGAGTTCAATAATTATGAATATGAAGTTCAAAAATTATGAATATATAGCTTTATAATTATGAATATATAGTTCAGTAATTATGAACATAGAACCGTGTCCACCTTGCATATAACGATTGTAAGTACATATAAATTAACCTATTATTTATATGTACATAATTTGTTAATTACAAATACACAATATGAATGTTACTTTTGAATTAGGATCCACAATGCAAGGTGAAGTATGGTCATGAATGGTTTGGTTACCCAGCGGCAATGTGGGAGCTACCTCTCAAAGTGAGAGGGGGTTCCTTGTGTGCAGTGAGCAAAGGTTTAGCCTTTGTGGTTCATGTTCAGTTGAGTTACCATGATTTACATCCTCCCAAATACTCTGTCGGGTCGGAGTTTGGGGTCCCATAGGATTGGGGTTCAACCTTTGGAAGAATGAGTGGTTTGGTTACGTATGAGTTGTAACCTTCTCGAACCGGCGGCCTGGTTTTTTCATTTGAGTATTTCAGTTTGGGTAAAAAAAAAAAGGATTCATGAATTTGACTTCTCGTATAAAGTGCGCATTATGTTACGTCTTGCGACCAAAGTTTATTTTTTGAATGTTACTGACTCTATTACAATGTAGTATCTGTTCTACTTTCTCAACCTACTGAAACACAAATAGCCAATAACACTCAAATTCACAACCTCCTATATGGGAGTCTAACGCGGGTAACATTAGACCACAAGGTCTTAGCACAACCAAAGTTTATAACAATAAACGTTTTGACGTCGATTTTTTTACAAAAATGGTATTGGAAACAAAATTAAATTATGAGACAAATCCTTGTACTAATTATATGACTACACTTATAATCACTTTTTTTTTTTTTTCTTTTTTGAAAATTGAAAATTAATTCAACTCAAATAGTAATCACTTATATTTTATGAAAACACAAGAAGGTGAAGTTCATCTTATAACCTTAGCAGGCAAATTATCCGGAACTATAAACCGCTCAATTGAATAGTCAAACTTCGAACTTGGAAACTTGTAGAAAAGCCCACAAAAGTACGCCTTGATGACCATTAAGTCATGTTGATCATTGATCCCTGACTCATGAATGATAATTAAATATTTGAAAAAGAAAACAATAACATACAATATAAAGTTTTATTTTAAATTCTATCTTTATTATTACTCCGTATAGTTTAAATTGTATCGTGTGGGGTGGGGGGACCAAATATATGAACGATCCTATTCCAGTGCAATGAAAGGGGCACATCGAGTACCAGAAAGAAACAATTCAGACAGAATTGTCTCATCTATTTTTTGCATTTAATTTCATAATAATACATGATATATTATATTATATATATATATTAGACATGTATGTATATGTGCATTCATGCACTAGTCGTCTGTCCTCCATCTGTATAGTAGCTCTAAAGATAAATTTCTCATTGATTAAATGCATCCACCCGTACCTGCACCTCCATGTTACAATCACACTCTTTCAACCCAACAACCAAAGGGAAAAAAAAATGACAGTGTCTTGAGTTACTTGAGTGGGTACGTTGACATTTCATAATGGACATGATTATATGTTGCAATACAAATTCAGTCGAGTTTTGATAGGATCAGAATTCATTCACGGATACTTGTTGTTATTGGTGCATAAATTTGTGTTCAAGTTTCTGACTTCGTAATTAAGTAGTTCAAACTCCTTTGACTTGAGTTGACGCATCTTGATAATGTATTGAATTACGATTGCAATATTTGAAAAATGGTGAATTTTTTGACCTTGATTGGATAATTAAAGTTCCGACCACCCACACCCATGGTTGGGAAAGATGAAGAATGCCCTAAAATCTTTGTCCACTTTTTGTGTTGTAAAAGAAATGGCAAAGAAATTCCAATCATGTACCCCAACTATGGTTGGACGAAAAGTTAAAAATACTTGGAATCTTTGTCAATTTTTTGTGTCATAACAAAAATTGCTAGTAATACAGAAATTATGGCCACCCAACTTGTGCCAAGAAAAATTGAAAAATATCCTAAATCTTTGTCCATTGTTTGTGTGGTAAAAGAAATTGATGATTTTTCACCCGTGTGATCTATAAAAAAAATTGTTAGTTACACATCGTCGTGTGAACAAGTTGAATTTTGAAGTGTTTTTTTATTTCTAACTAGTAGTAAGAATATGTGTGTAGCAAACAAGTTATATATACTAGCTAACATATATAAAAATTATTGAGTATGTAAAACGAACGTGTATATATCTTACAAAAACTCATATTCATTTGACTTTTTTATATAAAAAAAAATACAAGCCCTAAAATATGTAACCACCACACCAAAAGAAAAACAAACCAAATAAGTAAGAATACAATTCTCATTTGTGTTGTTTTTTTTTTACAATTAATACCAACTCCAATAGGCTAACATCACCATTGTCATCATACTTTTAAAGTATATGATATGTGTTTTAATTTAATGATCATCATATCACACCAGCAAATTCAAAAGGCTCCAAAGTCTCTGATGGAGAGCCTGGTATTCCTGGGCACATTTTCGGAGTGCCGGAGTCCCAAAGTGAGGGACACGTCTCCGGTGGACTGCGCCGCCGCCCCGAGCCTAACGTCGCCGTCCACCACCATCCCCCAGCCGTGCATCCCGGGGGGCTCCCAGCGCGGGGAGGTGGCGGAGGCGGTGTCCGGAAGATGCGGCACGGTGGTCGAGGCGTACTGGTGGTGGTGCTGATGAGGCCTGGAGGATGATGATGACGAATAATTGACGATGGCATAGCTCCGTGAGGGGTCGTTTTCCGTCGCAATAAATTCGGATCTTCTGCCCCCTGGCGACGGCATTGTTGTGGTTGTCGTTGTCGCGGTGGCAGTGATGCCCTTATTGCCACTGTCATCAGGCGTTGGGGACTGTGCCGCGGCGTTTTCTTGCTCCTCCGCCTCTTCCTCCTTGGATTCTTGCTGGTACATCTCCTCCACCATCGGCTTCCACAACCTAACCCTAGCATTAATGAACCAATTCGAAACCTGCAAATTAACCAAATATAATTAACAAAATCAATCAGGATCCGACCCGTCCACTCAATTTAATCCCAACCCTAAACCCGAGGGCCTCAGATCACACCCCGTCTTTAGAATTGTACGATAAGGTAAATCGCAGAATATGGTTCAGGGTTCTAAGGTAAATCGCAGAATATGGTTCAGGGTTCTAATGCTGTATGTATAGGTTTAAATCCTAAACCTGAGAATCCATCACCCCTGCCTTGAACAACGAGATTTACCTTAGCGACACATGGTCTAAGTGCTTAATTTTATTCTAAACTGAGATTCTTTCTAATTAGAAATTTGGGTATTCACGGCTGGAAATTATGGAATTTCCGACCACCTGAATGTGATCTTAAATCAAGTCGAAAGCCTTCTTCCGATCACTTTTGGTATCTGGAAAAACTTTTGTTGCTATTTCCGACCAATTTTCGCTTTCAACTTGATTTAAGATCAGATGTTCGAAAATTCCATAATTTCTAACAGTGATTTCCTGGGTCGCTACACTCAAACTTAACCTTTCGGATCGGAGTATTAATTAGGGTATGTATGTGTGCATGCATGTATGAATGTACTGCTGTTCTGCTGCAGTGCATTTATGGGGTATGGTGGGTAGTGATAAGGACAATATGCTGTGATGTGATGAAGAAGATGACACATAAATGCACAGCTTCAATTCTGCCATCCCCATTGAATTCTCAGAACAACAACAAAATATGAACTACAAGCCACGCACGCACATACACACACGCGACAGACATTATATTGCCATCAGTCCCCAACACTGAGAATGTTTTTTTTGCAAATGCAGTGAAAATCAATAATGTATAGTAATAACTCAATTACTACTCATTCACCCCATCTATGTTGTATTAGATAGTCAGCGTCACGAAATATGATAATAATGCAGTACAGTAAAAAATGTATGTACCGACTTAATTAATAGTGTATATGTGTCACCTTGAATACGTCTTAATTATTATTTCAAGGCAAAAAATAATTGCATGTACTATAAAACGTAACATTATGTTATTAACGTTATAGCATTTTTTCGTGGTGAAAATTGTAATGACTTAATTATTGGTGTATATGTTTCTCCTCAAATACATCTTTAACAAAAAAATAAAATAAAAAATGAAGCTAAAATGTTTAAATGGATATATAATGACCTTGTTTAGTAACATAATTAGCTTATTGGTTAATTTTGACTTATTTGATAACTATTAACTGTTTGACTTGGTTAAACAACCAATACGAGTGTTTAATTAATTAATTAACTTTTGTGTCAAAAAAAAAAATTAATTAGTTTTTTATAACAACTTATTGTTTCAAAATGTTAAAATTCAAAAAGCTGTTTTTTCGATTAGCTATTTGAAAAAGTCATTCAAAATGTAATCAGCTATCAGTTAATCTACTAAACATTTTTCTACAATCAGCTAATGCTATCAACTAGTCAAACTTACTAACCCAATCAACTAACAACTATCCGCTAACAACTATTTACCAAACACACCCCATGTTTAATTAGCAACAATGTAAATGGTATACTTTCACATTTTTTTTAATTGCTATATTTACCTGGACAATAAAATACAATGATGGAGTGGATCCACATAACAGGATAAAGCCATGTAAGTACTTACGGAGTATTTAACTATTTATTTTTACATATATATAGATAACCAATTTTTTTAAAACTATATATGTTTCCTAATTATATTTCTCATAATTCATGTGTAATAACCTTTGAATTACACTAATAAAATTATGTGTGACAGACTTGATCAAGAACATGTTGGTAATAATCGAATTAAACGCATGACTTTAACTACAATAATTATGCTTCACCTACTCATCAACCTCTTTCGAGGTATTTTATTACATTTTTGGTTGATCATATCCATGAATTAAGTGTATTGTGATGTTATATTAATAATAGGTCATCCTTTAAAGGGTATGATGAGTGAATTTATTGCATTGTTTTAAAACATTAAATCCTAATAGGAATTTTAGTGATTGGTATTATAGAGTTTTATAAGTTTGACTAGAGAAAACATAGTTGTCATGCACCTAATTAGGTAAATTAAGGTTCGGTTGTATGTGACTTTGTCTTTCTGTTTATATAAGGTTAGGTTGGTCAAATCTTTGACAAATATAATCAAATTCAGTTTCATTAATTTGCAGTAGAATTATGTACCTAATTAATTAAGCTTCTAGATAATCAAGATATGGCAATCGAGATCAATGGTTATGATTGATGACTTGATCATGAGATTCACTTGGTTTAAGTGATGTTTAATAAATGAAACATAAGATTGCATTGTAATAATCTTAATTACACGTCTCATGTGAAACGGTCTCACCGGACTTACCTTTAATATGTAAAGGTCGGTTCATAGGATTTTTTTTTTTTTTTTTTTTTTTTTTAGTACTACTGATTTTGTTAAACCAAAAGAGAGTTGTGCCATCTCATTTATACCCATGAATGAATTTTATACTTCATTAACATTGTATAGTTTCACCTTGAAATTTCAATTACCAATCTACATTATTTTCATCTAATAAGCAACATATGTTCAAAAATATCAACCATGCATTATAATTCTTATTAGGGAAAATGATCAAATAAGCCCTTACATTTTATACGAAAAATAGTTAGATCTTTAACTTTAAAAAGTTACAATTAAACAATCTACTTATCATTTTTGTGCATTTAGTACTAATTGTTGATTATCCATAGGTAATTAGGGTTCTAGCAATCAACACTTGCGACTGGTTCTATTATAAGCAAATGATATTTTAATAATAATAATAATAATAATAATAATAATAATAATAATAATAATTATTATTATTATTATTATTATTATTATTATTATTAGGGATAATTTTAAATTTAGATACACTAAGTAGGCCATGGAGTTGATTACGATGACTCACCAACTTTATTATCTTGCACACATATTGAAAGTTTTAATAATTTTGTAATATAATGGTGACATATAGACTGTTTTTTTAATCATGTAATGACATTATAGTAAAGAAGAAGAAACGTAAAAATAACGCTTTTAAACTAATTTACGAATAACCAATAAATACATGAATTAATCATTAAATAAATATAAGGATAATATTTTTCAAAAGAAAGCTAAGAAAGAAAGTTTCTTATTATTCTATGATCTTATGTTGGTGTGTACCCTTCAGAATATTATAATTATCATTTTTTATATCTTACTGTACTGTTGCAACCCACCATCTGAATTATATATCAACATAATTTTATTTTATTTTTTAATAAAAAATGAAATATTTGAGATGCACGAAATTAGAAAAAGACAAGCAGAAAGGATCACTGAAAAGCTGTGATGATCTGACTAAGAAATGATACTTCCAGTTTGGATTGTCCAATTTAGGTTCCTAAAGTTGTAAACTTTATAATATAATGTATGCAATTATGAATAAGAAAATGGGAAATTAGAGAATTAAAGAAAGAAAAAATGAAGAAAAAATAGTGAGCTTTCCCTTTCAAGAGATATGAAGAATTTGATACAGAAAGGTGGTGTGATGAGTACCTGATTCTTGGATAAACCAGTCTGCCGAGACAACAAATGCTTGTCTGCTTCACTTGGGTACCTGATGAGGAAAACAATACAAACATTATCACTGCAATCAATACTGCAAGCTATACTAGCTCTCATTCATTATATTCATCATCTGACAACAATAATCATGATCACATTAAAACAAGCATATATTCTTGTTTACTGTGCTCGCTGCGATTGATTCATTAATCTTGATTATATTTGCAGTCTTTAAGAAAACATCATTAATCTTTTTGAAGATGTGTATGTGGCCGGGATTCCTATCCTTGGTCTGGTCTCTTTGCCAGTTGCCTGCCCCACCCCCAATAAATTACCATGGTGGCCTCCTGTTGCACTGCATAGTCTTTATATATATATATTATCCCAAGTTCATCAAAATGTTGATTAACCATAAGGTTGAAACTGTCTATTGACATTTTTAGTTTGGCCTGGTCCGGACAACCTAAGCTAGTTTATTGTTTGATCTTATGGTCCTTTGTCAGTAAGGTTACTAAGCAGTGCACACTCTCGAGTAGTGACTATGGTTTTCTTCTGACCCAAAAAAAGGAAAAAAAAAATCATTGATTTGTATAGTATTGGTTGACTTGTGAGGAAGGGAAGTGTATAAAGTTTTCTGGGCTGTCTTAGCTTCAATCTTGTGATGATGGTGACTGGAGAAATATGGCAGGGGTGAAAGAGAAAGAGAAGAGAGAGGAGAGAGGAGTGAAATGTACGTACGGGTGAAGGAAATGCTCGAAGAGCCAAGCCCGGAGGACGCTAACAGATCTTTCCGGCAGCCCTCGCTGCGGCCGCCAAGCTTCGGAATCCATCATCCCCATCTGGTTAAGCGCCTTCTGTTGCCGGAGCTTCTGGTCAAGCACTCTCAGCCGCGGCGTCTCCCCTTTGGTCAGCCCGGAAGACCCCGTCGGGTCCTTCTCCCCCAGCAGCCTGTACGTCTCCTTCAGCTGCACCATTATCGCGTCCTTTATGCACCGGAAATGCCTCGACATCGCCTTCTGCGCCAGCGTCGTGTACGGCGCCGCCGCGCCGTACCCCAGCACCGTGTCGAACGACGTCACCATTGCCTGCATTTGGTCGCAGTAGCGCGCATATCTCCCGTCCACCTGTCCATTTCAGATCATTTCCAACCCAAAAAGGAAACAACTGCCATTATTATAAAAGTCATCAAGCTCAAGTGCCATGAAAATGTTGAACTTTTCCGGCAAAGGAGGGCACGCATGTGTATAAAAATATACATACAACATGGGCAGCATATTACATATATAGAACTAAAGTATATACTGTCATTGCATCGGTAATGGTTTGTTGGGTTGTAACCTTTTTAAGGATTTAAAAAACATGGCAGATTAGGTCTAATACCGACAACCTATTTCTTTAACAAAGTAATTAAAAGCCTAATAATTCAAAACCCCATCATTAAACTGTGTCTCGTTATGCTAATAATTCACGCCTTTGATTAAACAAATGTTAACTGCTGACATGGGTACACCACATATATATATATAGAATGAAGATTAAAGAATCCTAATATTGATCTTCTTGTTCGAATAATCATCAGTTATGGACAATCTGAAACTGATTTATCTGACATTTGCGGGCTATAGAGTCACAAGGTGGAGTTTACTTATTGCACCCCTTGGAGTAATGGTTACGGATTTCCCTTGTCAACCAAGAAAAAGAAAAGATTAAAGAATCCTAAAAACAACATGGTCCCCATATTAGGAAGAGGGAAACCAGGAAGTGCACCATTAGCTTTTTAAGGAGAGAAGATTAGTATTAATTTGCTGTAAAAATGTACGAATAGATCTAAGGTGATATAATGGCTTCCCAGACACCAGAGCTACAACCTATAATGGAGGCATGTTCGTTTGATGCTGGACGGACATGTACCCTTTACCCGCAACCTGTCATCATAAATCTTGAAAGACATCAACGTTGTACCATAATTAGGGTCATAAATTATTGTCATTAGTTGCCAATTATTATTACTACTTAGTAAAACCAGAAACGTGGAAGCTAGCTAATTAATTAATTAATTAATTATAATTATAATAAACTTTGGGTGGCTGGCTGGCTGGCTGGCCGGCAGGCTTTTCACGATGATTATATTTGATGAGAGTAAAATAGAAGCTAAGGAAAAGAGTGAGAGACATGCCTCATCAAGCATAGATAGGAGCTTGATTTTCCTCCTCTGATATTCCGACCGGTCGGCGGCCGACAGCGGCGGCGGCTGCTCCTTCGAAGAAGAAGATCCCGCTGGAGAATTCCCGCTTTCTGCGGCGATGGAATTAGGGTTTCCGCTCTCATTCTTCTTGGCCCTTTGATTCTTGAAGTGCCCTCTTCCGACGCAGCAGAATTCTTCTAGAAGCTCCTGCGCCGCCTTCAGGTAGCGGGAGCCACGGAGGACGTTGGTGGCGGCGTAGCCAACGTGGACTTGGGTGTTGGGCGGGAGATCCATAGCCAATCCTGAATGTAACAGTTGCTGGTGGGGGTGGGGGTGGGGGTGATAATTAGCAGCATTATTAGCCTCTAATAATCCTTGATTATGAAGGTAATTAATGGCGCCGTTCCCTATCCTCAACTCCTCAAGCTTCGCGGCTTCCATGTTTCGCAGGGAAGACGATAAGGATAAGGACAGCCCTTGCGCCTCTATTATGCTCCGAATTTTAGCGGAATCGTTCTCCACGACGGCGCCGCTGCTGCTCCCCGGAATCCACGTGAACTGCGACGGCGGCGCTGCCGCCTCCATGCTCAGCGGGCTGAGCATATGATGATAGCCGTGGTGGCTGAGGTCAGATCCGGCGCCGGAGTTGGGGTTGTTGAGCATGTGAAGAGCGGAAGACGACGGCCGTGGCGGCGGCGGAGATGAAGCTTTTATGTGAAGATTCATGAAGGGAAGCTGCATGAAATATATATATATATATATATATATAGATATATATAGATTGCATTATTAGTACAGCGAAAAAAAAGAAAACTGAAAAAGAAATTAATCACACTTACTGCTTCGTTCACTGACAGGTGTTGTTCTTTTTGACGAGGCCATGACGACCTGAAGGATGATTGGATCTGATCATCCAAGATTTCGGTGGCAGCTTTCCGCCACTCTGGAGGGTAGTTGATCATCTCCGCCAGAATTCCGCCGCCGCTGTCATACGTCGGCGGCGGTTCCTCTACTTGGAGCGGGATCGGCGGCGGCGGCGTTTCAAATCCCTGCTGATGAATTCTCATAGACGACGCCGCAGCAGCAGCGGCGGCGGCCGCGGATCTCTGGTAATCATTCTGGGAACTGTAAAATTCCTGGTGATGATGAGGGTATCCTTGGGACATGGAATTAACAATTCTGTGGAACCAAAACCTAGTAGTGCCGGTGTTCTCGGGTTAAAACACAACAATTTTAGTAAAATCATAAATCTCTGAACCCTTTTCTCCTCTCGAACCTGCTCGATCATGTTACAAACACACATAAATAATTAAACACACGGTCAAGAAATCAAAGCAAGAAACACAGACCTACAGACAGCCATGGCTGCCGGCCTGCATATATAGCCATAAAAATCAAAGCTTTTTCAATTCCTCAACCAAAACAATGAAACCCCTTTCCTCCCCTCACTTCTGCTTTACTAAATTCTAATTTCTGGGTTGCGAAAAGCACCTGTAAACGAAGCAAGGATGGATCTAGACGAAAGGGTGCAGAAGCCCAGAAACATCATTTTCTCACTGGCAGTGAAAGAGAACAAGACTCTGAACATGGGAACTGCGATGATCCTTGCGCTTCTTCAATTCAAGCGTACACTGTGAAGAAGGAATCTTCAATCTTTAATCCCCTCTTGTTATTATGATTATTATAATCAATGGAAAGTATGGAGACAGTACAGTAAAACATACTGATTTCCCAATCCAACAAGAAATTCAGGCCATCGATCAGGCTGGGATATATGTGGGAATTGAAGATAGATAATGAAAGGAGAGAAAGCTCAGAAGAAAATTAAAGCTAAGGTCGCCTTCTTTCTTTCTGCTGTTGCTGCTTCTTCTTCTCCTTCTTCTCTCCCACTTCGCTTTCACCAACCTTTTCTATATATGTAATACTATAATTTACTAACTTTGCATTTGTATGCTTCTCATCTGCTTTTTAAACTTACTTCCTAATACCACAGTGGATAAAAATGGCATGACAGGGGTAACAGTAATTTACCTTATTAGCTTGCAGTCTTGGCTTCATATACTAATTATATATAAATATCAATATTTTATTCTTGTAGCCAACTTCTTCTTGCTATTGACTTGGTAACAACAAGGTTACATGTTTCCCCCCGGCCCGTGGGAGCAGCAGGTTACTAGCACCACTTTGTGGTCATTTGCCTGCTAGAGAAACAAAGCGGGGTTTACCTCGTGCACACTTTAGTAGTGACGGCCAATTTCTCCGGTTACCCAATATTTTTTTTTGTAAAAAATAATTATTTAATTCCTCCTTTATTCCCTTTTATTATTTTTTTCTTATTATTATATGTGAAAATAAAATTATTTATTCCTCAATTTAGGTGAAAAATAATTTTTTTTTAGTTAAATAGATGATATATGATGTTTTCTATTTAGAAAGCAGTTTTTAATAGTTTTCCAATTTTATAAAAAATTAAAAAATTATTTCATGTTTTCAAAATAAAAAACTGTGCTAGTAAATATGTTTTCTATTTTGTGTTCTCCATTTTTCACTGGAGAAATTTTACAGTTAATAAGCTGGTCCTTGTGTCATTTCTTACTTTTATGTTTTAAAATTTTACAGTTAATAAGCAGGTCATTGTGTCACTTCAGCTAGAAGGGTCACGGTACAATTTCTTACTTTTATGTTTTAATTGAGGAAGATCCTCTCTTTTTTTTTTCTTTTTTTTTTTTTCAATTTAAAAAGAATATATGTACCAATTACCATACAATAAACCACATAAAAAATCATGAAATTTTCTTTTCTTAATGTTTTTTTTTTAAATAATAATAATAATAATTCTAAAGCCGGCTAGAGTTCAAGGTTTATGACATTTTGATTCGTATTTCATCTAAAGTAATCCATGAATTATTTAGTGTGGATTTTTTTTTTTTTTTAATGACATGCATCATGTACGAGTCATTGTAATAAAACAACAAATTTTACTGCCAAATATCTCTTAATGGACCAATAAGTTAATGGATGACAAGAGTAATTAGCAGAGCAATCATTTTCATTGATTGTGATGTTTTATTAGTAATAATATAATGTTGATGATTTAGTCTAAATTGTTCATGACACAAATTAGTGTTTAAAAATAATTATCAGATAACGAATTGTGTTAGTTGTTGTATCATCAACTAGCGTATAGTATTTGCCAATTATATACATACAAAAAATATTTGGTGAATTAGTTGTTTAATTAGTCATTAAATTCTTAATAAATCAATGGATTTATGCTGGACCGAAAAGATGTTAGTAACTTAGTAAGAATCAAATATGTTCTATATTATTGACATTTGTTTGAAGTTTCCAAGAAGCTTCTTAAGCCATAAGTAACTTAAACAGAAAAAAATATATACAATTAACAAATCCCAGTATTATATGCATTAAAGATGAAACCAAAATGTGGGGCGGAGGTGAAAGTAACCACAAAAGGGCAGGAACCATAAAACTATATATGTATATATATATATACATATACATATATTACTTGACAATAACATATATGGAGTAATAACATAATATTTAACGTTCTACTAGTGTCCATATAATTTAGTATTAGTAATTTTCAGTTGAAAGGGACCACTCTTGGTGTGTCGGAGAATGCCATGAGGTGTTGTTGTTTGCTGCTTGGAAGATGCAACAGTTGTGCTGTGCTCTCTTTAATTTCATAAATTTATATGCATGAATGCCCTTTGTGGGGGACTACCTAAAAATCAAAAGAAGAGGTGTATGTATAGACAGACCGTGACAACCACCACTATCTGCTCCTCATGCTTCAATTTCAAATTTTACTCTTAAAAGTATACAAGTAACTATATTGTACTAGGGGGCAAGAGATGGTGTATAATTATTACGGTGTAGAAAGTTATTTTTACGGTCTCATATCATTACTTTATTTAATTTGTGGATATTAATTGAACAAAGTTGAATTTAAGGTGTGTGTATATGCATGGTGATGGTTATTGGCCAGTTTGGTCTGGGTTTAAAATCTCATACAGGCCCAACAGCTCGGTTCGAGGGTAAGATGTCAATAGGTCCCTTAGCTAGGTCAATAGATTGATCGATCTCCGGAAAAAAAAAAAAAAAAAAAAAAACATCTAGGTTAGCTGGCCGGTCTACAAAATGTTGCATAAGTCACTACTTGTTGCCTAATGTGTCACTTGTCAGTTGTCACACTGTTCTACGTTGTTGAGTATGATTAATCAGAGAATGTCATGTCAACCTATACTAGTTGTTAAGCATTATCATGGGATTTGTACATAGATTTGCTAGCACCCATATAAGTCCCCCTTCATTAATAATAGCCATTAGGAATAATTATATGTTACACACCGAGATTATAGAGATTCTCAATTTTTCGAAATCAAGCTCGATCTCAATCTCTTACATATTTGATCCTTGCATGAAATAGTGCTAGACAACTATTTCCTATTGTATTCATCCACTACCTTTCCATCTTCTATTTGGTGTATATTACTTTGGCTTGATGGTCCCGTGTTCATGTAAGTACTATACTTTTCTAGACTTAATTGATTCGATTTATTTACACTATCATATGTGGGGGAAAGGGGGAGGTAGGTGGGTGGGGGAGGCTTTTATGCTGACCATAATAATACAGATATTACAAGTAGTGAGGGATGTAGTATATTTATGATAGTTTTTATTTTTATTTTTATTTTTATTTGAAGGGCATATATTATTCATATATGAGGGTTAGCTAAGCATCATCGTCAATAGGTACATGTCACTGGTTATTCTCTCACTACATGTCATTATATTGCTTGCCCACTTTTTTACAATTCATTGGTTGTAAATTTTTACATTTTAACTAAAATAAATGGGATATCTATGTTCTTCGACAACGATTGATTATAAAATTTAATTTTACAAAATTTTTTATGTAGAAAATCAAAAATAAAAGTTATTGATCTTCTTTTAGAAGTTACAAAATCAAACTTCATATAATCATATTATTATATACATATACATATACATATACATATACTTACACACACACATATATGTATATAGTATTGTATTGGTTGTACATGTACATATACATATTGATACAAGTCAAACATATATGAAGGTTTAATTTGAGTGTTGACTGGGTTAATTAAGTTACTTTTTTTGTTTGGCTATAATTTTCTTTTTTTACCAGTCAATTAAAATTGATATGTTTAATTTGATTATATATATATATATATATATATATATGTGTGTGTGTGTGTGTGTGTGTGTGTGTGTGTGTTTGCCCTCCCATAAGAACATCGATTCGATCAAAGTCACACACTAAATTTATGCACATAATCAATAATCCAAATTTCATAAATATCAATTAAGCTAAGAAAAAAATTAAATTTGTCCAAGCAAAATTCGATCTAAACTTCGTTCCTACGTCCAAATAGGTAAGGCAACGACAAAATATGAGTTTCTATATTATTAAATCCTTTCATTTAAATAATAAATTATTGCTATTATTAATATTAAATATAAGAAAATATGATTGTTTTGTTAATGTTTGGTGACTTGATGTTTTAATTTATAGAGACAAACATGTGGAGTAGAAAACAGTAGAATGGGGGTGTTTTGCTATGCTTTGGGTGACTGTATGCGCATTATTCATGCACAACTTCGTGTGCACCATAGAATGTCGTCAGAATCGTGTGCACACATGCCACACTTATACATTACATTGTGTACAGTACACTTTAAAATTATATTGTGCACACGTTAATATTGAAATGCATACATACACATCATGCACAACTACAAACAAATGCACACACATATGTATACGTATTATAGTGCACACATGCAAAGTTTACAATGTACACACACCTCAAATGAACACAAATTGCACACTAGGTCACGACAAGGTGCATACATACAACAAAAATCCAATGAAAAATATTGCACACTAGGGGTGTGCAGTGGTCAATGGAAAATAGATGGGACTTACCGAAAAATGACTTCTCTTTTTTTTTTTTTTGGGGGGGGGGGGGGGGAAGTCATTTTCCGTTTGCAGCAGTGGAGCATCCAATCACTCGTCAAGGTCGTCGCCACCACCACCACCACCACCATCGTTGTATATTTTAAATATTTAAAATTTAAAATAATTATGCTCATTTTTCAGAAAATGAACTAATAAACACACCAAGATAGTTTTCTGGAATGCAACCAAACATGGAATTTTCATACTTTTCAAACACACCATAAATGAAAGTCTATATTTGTCCATATCAACGCGAATATATATATATATATATATATATATATATATATATATATATATATATATATATATATATATATATATATATATATATATATATATATATATATATATATATATATATATATATATATATTGGTAGGGTATATCCCGACCGACACGGCTTGGCTTCTCTTGGTCTTTGTGCAGATTTTACAGGTCGGATATTCTTAAAGGAGAATCGGGCGGACCCGACTAGAATCTCATACTTGACCATCAATATTACAGGTCGGATATTCTTTAAGATTATATTCTTAAAAGTGTATTCAAATGAGGACAACTATATTATAGAAGACTGTGATGACAGATGTAGTCGTGTGCCATTAGTCTGTATGCCGTGTGCATGCATGGTCGAATGTAGTCGTGTGCCATAATTTGTATGTCGTGTGTATAGATTTGTTCATTAATAGAGTTTGTGTTCGAAACCTGACGTTTACATATATTCCTGTGTGTCTTGTGTATTAAATTGTGTGCATGATACTAATTTGTCGTGTGCTCATTATCTGTCCGCACATTCCTCTATATATTACTGTCATCATGTGAACGCAACCCTCTATATATATATATATATATATATATATATATATATATATATATATATATATATATATATATATATATATATATATATATGAAAGTAATTAATCAATTAATCTAGACCACTCGACTGTAGATAGACATCATGCATTAATGGACTTACAAATAATGACAAAACCCTAAATAATTGAGTCTCATTGAAGATGAAAACGAATTAAAAAAAATACTTATAATTAAATTATATTCCTTTTCCCACTCTAAAAATAAACATATAATCTCATACTTGACCATCAATATTGTGAGCAAATTAAAAATAACAATTAGGATAAGTCATTCAAACTAGTCATACATATATATACTAATGTGGACGGATGTAATTAAATTAATGAATTATATTATATTAATCTTCTTTTTCTCCTAATATTATATTATATTACTCTATCTAGGCCAGTGGAGTGGAAATACACACCCCATATGGCCATATATATGCATTAAAGGACTTATAAATAATGACAAAAATCAAAGTCATTTAGTCTCATGATGAAAAATGAAAACTGTATAAAAATTCCTTTCCTCCCAATGTGATAGTGATAACCCCCCTAGACGTAAATGTCATATACCTGCCCATTGAACTGTCTAGATTATACAATATTGCTTGGCCCTACCAATGTGCCTATAATTGCTAAACATTCCCCACCATGGGACTCAAAACCTTGCTAGCACACCTTCACAACCTACAACAATTCTTACTATCACCATATGTTGGTTCAACAAATTAGGTTGTGAAAGGTCTAGGTGCTCACACCTCAGCTCAAAAAACGTCTATCTATAATTTTTTTTTTTTTAATTAGTGTTGCGCGGCGATTTGGAGGACCAGGTTCAACATTATGTGATCAAAACATGACGTTGACTGCTACGCAAGTATAATAATGAAATAAAGTTGAATCTTCACTACTAGTTATAATTTTTAGTATAGTGGTAAGCGTTTGATACTGCCAATTAGTATATTCAAAAGGTGAATACTTTTTTTTTTTTTAATCCTATTAATCATTTGTGGTGGGAATTTTTGACCAGTAGGTTAGGGTTTGTGTGTGTACGTGTGTGTGTGTATATATGTTCTAATTATTTATAATTCATAAATCATACTATTACACTAGTTTTAAATATTTTATCATTTATATATTCATGTAAAAACTATTTTGTGGTGTGAAACTATGAATTTATAAACTTTATTCATAAATTTTAAAATTTTAAAAATTAGACTAAAATATTGGTTAATCCAGAAAAAATTAGTTCAATTAATTTAGAAATATAAATTTCGATTCAATTAACGTTTAATGTATTTTTGTAAATAAGGTTAATAATTCAATTCAATTATTAACCGGATGAACACCTTTATTTCTTCTGCTCGAACTATAAGTCATGGTTGTGTGTAATAATGTGTGTAGATAAGAGAGTGATTGGGAAGTTTGAGACATAATTGGAGAGATGAATTAGTATTGAATAATGATGAATTAAGAAGTAATATACATGGAGCAAATTAAAGAAGAATAAACAAAGGAGTTGATGAGATAAAGGGGTGAGGGATATATATGATATGATTATGGGATGGGGTCAATGTCATTTGTTGTATGATGGGCAATACAAAAGGTTGATGATCCATGAGACGCATATGCCCACTCCCACTTGCAATGTTATCCCATTAAAGTTTGAGTACGTCGCTATCCCTCCATAAAGAAGCACAAAAGAATGGCTACAAAACTCTCTAGTGGAAATATGGTTTCTTCTCCCCCTTTTCTTTGCATTTCTCCCTAATCTAATCTAATATATATATTTGCCTCCACACTCACCGCTCCTTTAATTATTACCCTTTCCCCATAATCGCAACTTGTTTTTACACTCCCACTTTCTAATTTAGTGTCTCCGCACGCCTTTCTACATTGGTTGCACCCTTAGTTTATTTGATTTACAATGAAGTATATATGTAGCCACTATTCGAATTTATGTTGTTGAGTAAGGTACGTATGTCTTGTGAGAGGTAAACCAGCATATGCTGCTATAGCTGACTGGTTCAAATCATCTGAATGTGCGCTTCTAGTGAAGCTCGCCTTGTGACCCTAAGCTAATAAATAGCTCCAAAAGTTGAATTTGGAACATTGCGTTTATGATGTTAACTGTTCGACTAACTAATTGGCAGTGGGTTGTTCCAACCGCACCGTTTCTTTTAAATAAATCGGGTTGTTTTTTTAGTCACTATTCGATATTGCACACTTCTACATATGAGCAGTAAATTGCGGCATTAGAAAGACCCGATGAGACAGACTTGATTAAGAGAGTATTGGCAATAATCGAATTTGTGGTTTTTAGGTATGGGAATTATGTTGCATCGACTTAGTCAATCGCATCATTTCTTTTAAATAAATCAGAATGTTTTTTAGTCACTATTTGATATTGCACACTTCTACAATGAGCAGTAAACTGTATTAGAAAGACTCAGTGAGACAGACTCGGTTAAGAGAGTATTGGTAATAATCGAACTCGTGGTTTTTAGTTATGGAATTATGCTGCACCGACTTAGTCATGTCTTTTGGGGGTGGGTTGTGTTTTTTAATTTGATGCAAGCTGGTCTTACAATAACTATTATAAGCTTGAAATAGTACAAATCATGTACATAGTACAAATAATGTACGGAGTACAAGATTTTATTATGCAAATGGACTTTAATTAATTATGAATATGTACCAAACTCAACATTACACCTAACTATTTATCAATAGATGCATCGAGATCTTTCTTCTTTCTCCGGGTTAATCAAGCCCATTTGGTGAAGCCCAATGCACAGGCCCATAACTCATTTCCAGCCCACTATTACTTGGCCCATTTAATGGAGTTCAAACTCATTTTTAAACTTGTAAAACATTATTAAAAAAAAAAATCATAATTTTCAAACAACCGAGTCCAAATATTTGAGTTTGACTAAAATCGTTTTGGTTGACTTGTTAATAATGCGTTTTGAAATTATTGTATAAAATTTTAGTAAAATTGATTTAACTTGTTTACCTAGAACAAATTAAGTCAACATGTTCCTAAATAAATTAAGTATAATTTTTGTATTAAAATGTCACGAATATAAATATATATTTTTATACATCATACTACGTATAAAATACTAATAGTATGCATAAAAGTCATCTTAATATTTTATTTTTGTATATTCGATTCCGTTTTTTGATTCTAATTCCCGCTATTGAACAGCAGAACGGTGTAAAAATTAACAGAAAATTTAGGGGTTGTGACGTTGTTTAAGCAAAGTCCCGTATTCGTTTTAAGAACAGTCTTTTTCCCTCTTTCTTTACGCTTTCTTGGTGGAGAGCTTTAGGGCGTCCTTTCGTGGAGGAGTTGAGGAAGGAAAGGACCCACATCACTGTATAATTTCAAAAGCCTCCATCTTTTTTCCTGTTATAACCCGCTTAAAGAAACCCAAGCGGGCTTTGACTCTAATTCCCTGGGATTTTATTCCCAAAAACCGTGTGATTTTTGTTTCATAATATTGTCTTTCTTTGACTTTGATTTTGGGAGTTGCGTATGTTCACACGCATATCTGATCTTTTATTTCATCATTACTTCCATTGTTTTCCCCCGGCGTTTTAACACTATTTTTCACAATTCTTTTGGGTTCCTGGATGATTTTGTTTTCGGCTTAAAGATTCTTGTTTGGGTGTTTTGGAAAAGAGAAAAGATTCTTTTTGTTTTTGATTCAGGGAAAAATTGAAAAGTTTTACTTTTTGTTTGTCCTTATTGGATTGAAAAGATTAAAGTGCACCAGGAGGAATATTTTTTTGTTTGCTGTGGATGATGTTGCTTTTGAGCTATTAGGTTCTTTCTCCGATCTGGGTTCTTATTGGCTTCATCGCTGTTGCATAATCTTCTGTCTGGGGTGAGTAACTATCTCATACTAGTCGGGCTCTGATTGCCTTGAGCACAATGCAAATATTTAGCTTGGACCTTTTATTTGGTCCCCATTGTTCTTTGATCATTTCTTTACTTATTGAGATTTGGTACCTTGAGCTTCGTTTGCATTGAGTTTTCCCTTTGTTCAGTTGGAATTGATGCATTAGTTTTGGTGCTTTTATTTTACTCTTTTTGTCTTTGATTTGGTGTTTGTTGTTCCATTGTTATAGCCTCTGATTTCAATCTGTTTGCTAGGCTTGAAATTTGTGTGCATTGTTACACATAATAATAGAAGTAATGGGCAACTAGGCAAATTTGATTTTGGCATTACCTGAGTAATCGTGTTTATGGTTTGATCTTGAGGACCTTTGTAGAACTGGTTCAGAGGCTACAAATTTGAAAAGCTTCAAAGTGTTTTTGACTTTACTTTTTATTTTCCATTGAGTTGATTGGGCAATATGGATCTTAACTAAAATGGTGTTTCATAAAGTTTCATACTTTAGTATGGTGCTTGTGCGTCCATGTATTCTTCTAATGCTGGCTTTTTCCATGATTTTTTGCAGGTTGAACTCTCTGTGACCTTGAGACAGTAATCGCTCTTATAATGGGTTGGCTGAGCAAATTTTTTAAAGGCTCTGACCACAATGTTTCAGAAGGGCAATATGATTCAAATTATGGTGGACACAGAGAGGATAATCTTCCATCTACTTCATGGGTAAGCATTGTTTTTACGTTTTGGCATCTTCTCCTTATTCAAGTGATGGCTTTGTCTACATATGATTCATTAGCTTTCTTAGTCCTTATTTTATTGCTGATAACAGCAGGACTCCTGGTCAGAGATTGAAGACATAGACCGTGCTATTGCATTATCCATGTTGGAAGAGGAGCAGAAAGGGAAAAATGTGGTGCTGGGTTAGTGCAATGGTCATTGTTTCGTCATAATACCTGTGTCCCTGCTGTTCTTATATTTCTTTCTTATTAAATAGCACTTTTATTTTCATTTACCAAATAAATATGCTGATTTTCTTGATGAGAATGCCTCCATGGTGAATGAATTAGCTGCTTTGACTCACCTGATACTAAACCTTTGAAACTGCCTGTGGCATAGTTTTAATACAGATCTTACTGAATGCCCTAGTTAAATGTTTTTCTGACATAATGTTTTTATTTTAATTTTCCCTATAGTTCATTCAATGAGAATTCCTATATTGGGCAGATAGCGAATTACAGCTAAGTGAAGATGAACAACTTGCTAGAGCTCTTCAGGAGAGTTTGAATGTTGAATCCCCACCAGCATGGCATGGAAACAGAAATGATACTGGGCGTGGAAGTGGATATGGAAATGGAAATGGAAATGGGCACTTCTATCAACCTATACCTTTCCCCTATGCAACGAGTTTTAGGTTGGCTAAGCATTCTTATATTTTGCATTCTTTCTTTACTTTCAGCACTCATTATATTATATATACAACCAAAACTTCTCTAAATATACTTTGGGTCTCATCAATTTCCTCTTCTGCATTTACTTTGTCAGATAAGTTTGGAGTTCCTCTACCAATTATTTAATCAATGCCTATCCTTGCATAAGTTTCAAATACTCCCGAGTTCATTTGTTTGGAATGTATCATACTAAGTGCCACACACAAAACTTAGGCCATGTTTGGTAACATAGTTAGCTTATTAGCCAGTTTTGGCTTATTTGACCACTATTAGCTGTTTGACATGGTTAAACAATCCAGATGAGTGTTTGATTAATTAGATTTTTGTAATAGCTTGTTGCTCCAAAATGCTAAAATTCAAAAAGCTGCTCAAAACAGCTTTTTCGATCAGCTTTTTGAGAAAGTTATTTTGCATGTAATTAGCTATCAGCTAACAACTAATTTACCAAACACTTTTCTACAATCAGCTAATGTTATCAACTAGTCAAACCCACTAACCCAATTAACTAACATCTATTTACCAAACATCCCCTTAGTCCCTTTCAGTCTGAATACATGTGTTACAGAGAAGTTATTTTCACTATGGTAGGATATGTGCTGGGTGTAACGCAGAGATTGGCCATGGACGATTCTTGAATTGTATGAGTGCTTTCTGGCATCCAGAGTGTTTTAGGTGCCGTGCCTGCAACCAACCAATTTCTGATTATGAGGTATGGAATCATGTAATCTTTTCACAGATCACAGGAGAAATTAGTTCTGTTAGTCTTGTTTATATTAAGGAGTACCGGTTCATTGTGAATTATCGTACATGTGTTACTACCCTAGTTAATTTAATGAAGTGACTAGAAGTAAAGGAAATTGGCATTTTGTTATTGATATATAATAATAAAACATAAAAACATACGTTCTTATCAGAGGATATTGTTTACAATATTTTGTATAAGGTACATAATTAGCCTTCTTTTTAACTTTCTGCATTCCAATGATTTCAGTTCTCTATGTCTGGGAACTATCCATATCACAAAACTTGTTACAAGGAGCTTTATCACCCAAAATGTGACGTATGCAAAAACTTTGTAAGTATAATTTTTTTCTATTTACAATTGCCTTTTCTTCTCTTTTCTTTTGATGCCATATGGTTTCTCCTTTCCCCTCCAGATCCCGACCAATGCATCAGGTCTTATTGAATACCGTGCACACCCTTTTTGGTCCCAGAAATACTGCCCATTCCATGAGCGTGATGGAACCCCTCGCTGCTGTAGCTGTGAGCGAATGGAGGTAAATCTAAAATAAATAAATAAAAAAAAAAAAGAAAAAAGAAGTAATCTTTGGAGGTCTCTCTTCATGAGAAAATCCCAATATTTATGTTCTCCAGACGAATTTTGATCCGCATATTTGTTTTTATTGATGCAGCCACGGGAGACAAAATATGTTGCCCTAGATGATGGTCGTAAACTTTGTTTAGAGTGCCTTGACTCTTCCATTATGGATACCAATCAGTGTCAACCCCTTTATCTTGATATACAAGAATTCTATGAAGCGCTGAATATGAAAGTGAATCAGAAAGTCCCATTGCTGTTGGTTGAGAGGCAAGCCTTGAATGAAGCCATGGATGGAGAGAGACATGTAATAAAGTTTTCTGGAGTGCCCGTTCTTCTTGGATCTGAAGTTCATAAGTTTATGGCTTTATGCCCTTTCTTTCTTAGTAAAACATGAGAACTAACTTTTGAGTTCTTTTCAGGGACATCATCACATGCCGGAAACTAGAGGACTCTGCCTTTCTGAGGAACAAACAGTCAGCACTGTACGAACTTCCCACGCCATTTTCATTGTTCTTTCCTACCTATCTTCAAAGTTCTCAAGTACTGTCGTATTTATGTTTCTTTAACGATAAAACTTTACTTTTCAATATTTAGATTTTGCGCCGGCCAAGAATAGGGGCTGGAAATCGTTTCATAGAGATGAGAACGGAACCCTATAGATTAACACGCCGCTGCGAAGTGACAGCAATACTAATTCTATATGGCCTTCCTAGGTATTGTTACTAAATTAAATTATTACCCCATTTTTGTTTGGTCAGACCACGAGGTATCCTGAGCAGGCCCTAACTGGAGGCACCTTTAAGCCCATACCATACTCAGACTAATCCTCGTTTGCATTGGGCCGGCCCAATTAAGGGGCAAAGTGCTGGTTTTTCCATACGAGGGGGTTCAAACTCCCGACCTCTCTTAAGGGACGAGAGTGCACGGCCACTCACGCAAACCAAGCTGGTTAAATTATTACCCCATTTAATCCTTACTTTTGATCCCCGTTTTTTTCTTAAGAGGAAATTTGACTTTGATAATTGACCACGACTGCTCTTTATGCAGGTTACTTACGGGATCAATCTTAGCACATGAGATGATGCATGCATGGCTTCGACTTGGAGGTAGTCATGTTCTTATTACAGCCAGTTTCAAGATCTTGTTTGATTTCACATTAACTATAGTATCATTTTTATATAACATTGAATATATCTCGCATTTTTATACACTTTCTGTTTTCTTGAAAGGTTATCGAACTCTTAGCCAAGATGTTGAAGAAGGCATATGTCAAGTGTTGGCACACATGTGGTTGGAATCTCAAATTATGTCGATGTCGAAAGGCAGCAGTGCATCAACATCGTATTCGGCCAGTTCATCGTTAAAGAATGGGACTAGATCTCCTTTTGAGAGGAGACTCGGGGAGTTCTTTAAACACCAGATAGAATCTGACACGTCGCCAGTGTATGGAAATGGGTTTAGAAGCGGTAACCAGGCAGTACTTAAGTATGGTTTGGAGAGGACATTGGAACATATCCGGATGACAGGGACCTTCCCTTTTTGAAAAGATTTGATTTTTAACTTAGGAACTGCTGTCTTTATTGTTTTCCTATAGAGTGAAGCTTTATCCATTCATATTAGCTTCCTTTAGAGTTACTATACCTTGTAGTTCCAAGGAAGGTCTCTTCGTAGAATTCAGAAAAAAGAAAAAAAAATTGTTTTTCTAGCTTGTTCATTTGATTCTTATAGTAATAGTATATATATTCTCGCCTTTATCTGTGTTGGATCCTTTGTTTTTTGTTTTTAATATCATCATATACGGGCATTCGCATAACATATAACTGATACAAGATACATTATGGCAGTTTGAAATAAGCGTTTCAAATGCTCATTCTTGATATGATTTCTGTAAGCTTGCTTGTATTTTCAGCAGACTAGGCACTACTTCTCCCATGGTGGGGCGATCGGCTGGATCTGTTGCCAAGCATCTCAGGGCTAATTTTGCGGTCTGAAATGCGAGCTCTACTCCACCGTGTTGTTTGAGGTCAGCCTCGATGAAATTAGCGACTTCGGTTTCTGCATTTTCTCGTCTGAAAATGGAAACGATGGCTGCGGATAGTAATGCTTCTCTACCTTCACGTGCAAAAACAGCAGGCTTCCCTGTGAGTAATTCTAACAGCACGACTCCAAAGGCGTATACGTCTATCTTGGGAGTAACTGAAGCTGTGTCGAGATACTCCCGAGCCAGGTATCCTCTAGTCCCCGCGATTCTCCCTGTTGTGGGAGATTCAACTGGTTTAGTAAAGCTGAAATTTGCGATCTTGGCTCTGAAATTGCAGTCGAGGAGAATGTTTCTGCTGCAAATGTTCTTGTGAACGTAGCCCGGGTCTGTGAAGCTGTGGAGATAATGAAGCCCATTGGCAACATCTATGGCGATTTGAATCCTCAGACTCCACCTCTCCGTAACTTCTTTGGGTGTTTTCTTCTTCAGCCATTCCCTGAGAGAACCGTTCTTCATGTACTCAAAAACCAAGTAGTAGCAGCCCTGATGAACAGAGAATCCATGGAGCTTTACCAGGTTGAAATGATTGATTTTGTTGAGCATATTAACCTCCTCTGATGCATCTGTGCTCATCTTCTTGATCACCACATCATCTCTCCCTTTAAACACGCCCCGATACACTGAAGATCCCTTGATTCTGTTCCTGGAACCGAAATCTCCAGCAGCCTTTTTCAAGTCCTTGAACCTGAAAACTTCAAGGCTTCGATCAATGCCCGCAATCTCAACCAAGATATCCTCTACTGGCTCTGCAGAATTTCCCTTTTTCTTCTTCTTCCTTATGAATGGATACATGACACAAATAACCATAACTGAGATCACCACAGAAACCCCCACTGCAACTCCACTACCTATATATACACCTCTCTTTGACCTTCTTCTTGAAACACCAGATTCAGGCTGAGGAGAGATGGGAGTTTTGCTGTTTCGAGATATGATTGAAGGGTTGCCGCCAGATAAAGGAACAAGAACGGTAGTAAAAGGAAACAGAGTTGAATCTTCTCCAGAAACACCATTTCCTGCAACTATTTCCACTGTGCTTACATTGAATTTTTCAGCAATTCCAGTGATATTATCTCCCCAGTCAATGGAGTAAGTCAGCAGATACTTGGTCCCGTTCAAAATCTGATCTTTAGTTGGACAGGCGCAACGAAGAGGAATCTGCAGCTCCAAACCAGGTTTCAGACTGAATTCATCGTATACATTTTCTGCTTCAAGGGACTGGCAAGTCGACAGGCCTTGGTAAGTAGTATTCGCTATGGAAAAGTATGTTTGGTCGGGGGATGGGATCTGGTACGAGGTTTTTGCTGCGTAGTACTGACCCGAACAGGAACACTTCACCGGAACGACAACCTCCTTGTCTTCCGGGAAAGCTGTCAGCTTTGAGGCGGCGTTGTTCAGTCGTGCTATTTCTGAGGCGTTGGATGACAGGAGAGCTGCAATGGCGGGGACAGTGTTGAACGGAAACCTTGCCCGGAAGATCAGAAACGCCCTGCAAGTGAACAGCTGCCCATTGCAGGTGTAGAGATAAGCCGGAGATGGCGGCTCGTTGGCGTCAGTGTTCTTGCAATCGAGCGCTGAGTTTCCCGAGTATTCTTGTTGAGCTCCGGTGTGTGGAGTGACAGAAAGGACGATGAAAGCACAGATCAGAACCCGATTCATCTTAGTTCTTCTTTCTTGAGGGAACAAGTTTCATCTCCAAGTTAAGAATGAGGAGTTTCGGAGTTTTTTATGATTGTTGTCATCGTCTTAACATAAACGCGTGAAAGATTATGATATAATTTCCATTTTTGACTTGTTTAACTAGCATCTATCCAAGATTATCCTGACCGCAGAAATCCAGGAGAAATCTACTGTTACATATAATATAGGTAGATTTAAAAGATGGAATGTTTCTTCTTGACATGATTTCTTTAATTTATGGATTTTTCGTTGTAGTTTCTCTTGGACACATGCTAAAACCAGACAAGTTGGTCTTTTGTTATGAAACCAGAAGTCATTTTGTTCTTAAGACTTGTTCAACGATGCAACGTAACAGTAGTTAGACGTGAACAGCCTAAGAAAGGCATTGAGATTGAGATTAGAATATGATTTATTGAAGTTTTAGGTCACTGCATGAAAGTATGTTTTGAATAAAGTTCAATCTATCTTGTGATTTTAACTGATAAAGGAAGTATGTTCTGAATAAAGTTCAATCTATCTTGTGATCCTAACCGATAAAGGATTACAAGGAGGTAAAAGTAAATTAGCCTAAGTTACTCATGATCGGCTTAAACTGAAAAAGTAATACACAGTTTTTCACAATGACTATTTAATCCTTATTACTACAAGCGTATGAGTTATGACCTAATTCTACCACAAAAAGGTAAATTGATCTTGCTACACACTCCTACTTTTATCTCTCACAAATAACCACTCAAGAAAATTAGTATATAACCTTTTGTCACATCATAAAGTGATTGTTTTTGTGAGTGACAATTGTAGAAATGTTTAGTATTTTCTAAGGTGTTATATGTTTTGAGTGTGAAAATTTATCCTGAACTTTATGAAATACTCCTAAACCTCTCAAAAACCTAAATCTCATTTTAGAGACATCCTTTGGGCCAAGCATAATTAAATTTAATATTTGGGCTTTGCACATGTTCTTGAAATGATCATCCAGATACTGTGCCGTTGCGGTTTCAATCTACACATATCCATTCAACCTCGGAAACTTCGAGGTTGTCCCCTGGATCAATCGAAATGCATACAATGCAACTGAGCAGCCACCTTTACTCACTTTAAAGTTTACTGTCGTGTAGTTGTTACATGTTCAGAACATTAACCGTTAGTTTTTCTCTGAATCAGTTCATTGCATCTGGACGTAGTTCAGCTTAAAAAACGTTTCCTCCTCAGTCTTATATGCTGGGTTCTATCCTTCGGAACTCCAGATTCATTGTATCTAGACATCTCAGTATTAGATGATCATAAACATTTTTCTTTTTCTTACCAAAGATAAGAAAATATATATGATTGAAGACATTAACTGCACTTTTAGCAGTCTGTGATTAAGGACCCTAACCCACAAATTATTATAGAAAGATAAACTATTTTCGATTGTCATCAATAATTGACAGCTCAAATTAAGGACTGTTAATAGATTATTTCGGTTAAGGCTTGAACTTGTAATCTGGTTATCAAGTTAACAGTCTGACCAATTTGATTTGAATTGTCTCGTCATTCATTCTTGTTAATTAGAAGATGTATAATATAAGGTTTAAGGTTCTAGAATTGCAGAATGTTGCATTGACTCAAATGAGTGAATGACCACCCTGGCGGGAAAGAAAATGTATTTCAGTAAAACCAGACAAGAAGAAGTGGGGCCAAAGAAACAATCGTGCTGGATGGGCCCCGCCCGCAACAAAAATGCTGCGTTTCGATAACGTTATTATCGTCTTCCCTGCATGCTTTTAATGTCAAATTTTTGAAAGTGACATTATTTTCTACATATTTTTTTTTATGTTTCATCAGAGATTAAAAAAAGAACAGTAACAGATTACAGAAAAGTGCGTGACAAATGTCCTTAGGAATGTCGTCATGGATGGATACATCGTCAGAACACTCTAGCTACATGTCTTGTTTAGATGAATTCTGCGACCATTCACGATGAACATACAAGATAGCTTTGCCCAGAACTGCATGTGTCTCTAAACATCCATTGATGACTTTCGCAGGTTAAACCGATCGACCACATTGTGTCGACATCTGAGGTTTATGCCATCTGCCCATCTTCTGAACAAAGGGACAATAATTATGATTTATAGTTTTACTTTAGTTATGGCCTACCAGAATTTCAGTAGGGACATTATATTATAATAATTGCAGGCATATGATTTAGCATATGCTATCAGAGATTGATGGGGCAACTCACGATTTACCTCCATTAGCGACTCTCGGGTATAAGAAAAAGAATATATCCTGATACTGTTTACCATGAGAAAATATACCATCCAGAAAGTATCCTCAAAATGTCTGCTCAGAATATCCATCCTATATTCCCATTTGATTCTCTTTTTTTACAGTGTAATACTGGGTGAAAATGCATTCATTTACTGCTATTCCCCGGACAGTCAACTTTTTGTTTTAATCTATAAAATGGTTGGAATTCTCTCTACTTCTTCTTCATCATCACAACTACATTAGATAGATAATGCTACTTCATCCCTCTTAGAACTTTGGTCTTTATCAATATGGGGGGTGTAGAGCTTTCTTACTGTGTAGTGGAAAGGAAAGCTTGTGTTGGGTGGGTTAACAAGTATTTTAAGGATTGTCTTTGCAACCTTAACGATGAAATCTCGTTTGTCGTGGGAATCATTAGTCTAATCTGTTGGGGGGTAGCAGAAATCCCTCAGATTGTTACCAACTTCAAGAACAAGTCTTCCAGTGGCGTCTCTCTTGCATTTCTCTGCACTTGGATCCTTGGGTATAATATATGTATCTCTACCTTTTTCTGATTCTTTTCTTTGTAGCTCGAAAACATCTATCTCATGGAACTTGGTAAATCCTGTCTTGTGATCCTGACGTCTGGTTTCCTCTCTATTTTGCAGAGATGTTTTCAATCTTGTTGGGTGCGTTCTCGAGCCTGCTACGGTAAGATTGACAAGAACTCATGTTTAAGGTTGTCTCAGCCTGCAATGGCTTTAATTTTGTAAGTTCTAAATCATTTTTTGTTGATTGGGATACAGCTGCCCACACAGTTCTTTACTGCACTGGTAAGCCTGATTTGATCGACCTGGAGTTTAAACTTTTAGTCGAGACGAAAGTTTGGTATTAATAATAATGTGTTTTATTTGATTTTGCAGCTGTATACAGCAACAACAGTAGTTTTGGTGTTGCAGGCCATATACTATGATCATTTCCTCCCATGGTGGAAGTGCCGAGACAAGAACACCATTCTGGTATAACATTGAGTTCGGTTTCTCATACTGAAAACACAATTACTCCTAAGTAAAACAGATGATGCTAATTGTGTTATGATGCCCGCAGGTTAAGGATAATGAGAGAGAGGCTTTGAAACAAAGGTCACGACATCATCGTACTGCTCCTGCGGTTGAGGTCCCCTGCCAGACACATTACTATTTTACGTAAGATTCCCCCTTTTTCATTATATTGTTGAATGTTGATGGCTCAAACAAGAAGGTCTCCATTGTATATAAATGGGTGTTTCGATCAGGTCGGCGAGAACTTTGGCAAGCAGTGATACTCCAACGTACTGCTACATAATGGCCAGAAGCGGCCCTCCTGCTCTGCAATACGACGCCGATTCATCTTCTGAAGATGAAACGGTGCCGTTATCTTCCTCGCAGAAGCCCGTTTCCCAGCCAAGATCAATTCCTCGCGCTGTAAATCTCCATCTGCATTTTAATCATAAAACATTAAATGATCGAGTATCCTCAGCTCGCTAATAACTTAATGTGGGTTCTGCGCAGACGGCGTATGGCACATTTCTAGCTGCTGCAGCTCATTTTCCGGTGGGTGGCAAGTCTCTGATTATGGAGGCACAGACGAAGTTCGCCGGAAGGAGGTTATTACAGGTTAGATTAACTATGATTTTGCATCAAAATGAAGACATTGTTGCCCACAAAAGGCCCCAGGCCCCACACCCTCGATCTCATGTCTTTATCTACAATCTGTCACTCCAGAACTAATTGAGTTGCCCGTGTGGGCAAATTAAAGATATTGTTGTGAGAATGTGTTGTAATCATATATAGTGCATGCATTGATGACAGGAACATGAATTTGACAGCAGTGTTGCTGGGCAATGGTTGGGGTGGCTGATGGCTGCTATATATATGGGAGGAAGAGTCCCCCAGATTTGGTTGAATGTAAGTTTCTTATTACCCACCATTGTTTATTGTAAAACTCTGCAGGTTCTTTATCTGGTTTTGTGTACTATTCTAACATGTTCCCAATGTCCATCCATCTTATCTGCCCAGATTAAAAGAGGAAGTGTTGAGGTACCATGAAAACTCTGATACAACTAACACTTGTTGATGATCAATTTTTTCTCCATCCCCACCTTAATTCTTACTTCTTGTGTTAATAAATGTTTAGGGACTTAATCCTCTCATGTTCGTCTTCGTCCTCATTGCCAATGCCACATATGTTGGAAGGTACGTGTAGTCGTCCCCAAGTCAAGAGGTCTATTCTCACATAAAATATATTTCTCTCCATATAGACATTATTGGTGCTAATAAAGATATATTTTGAGTGCAGTATATTGGTGAGAAGCACAGAATGGGAGAAGATGAAGGCAAACATGCCATGGTTGCTAGATGCAGTGGCCTGTGTGGTGCTGGATCTTTTTGTATCCTCTGAATATTGCATTATTACAATTTTCTAAGGTTCCATGCACTTGATGCATTGCCAATGGCTCCTTAACTTGGAGTTTAAACAGATCATTCTTCAATACCTTTACTACACCCACAAGAAGATTAAGAAGAGACAACAAACACAGAGTTGAAGACTAGTTCCCTTTTCAGTGTTGGCTACAACAAGGATCAAAGTTTGATTTAGGTAGTTGAATGTTCTGTTGTGTGCTGTACATTCTGCAATTATTTAACCAATCCCATCTGTATTGTTGGCTTATTCTCTTTACCAAATCATTGGCATATAAAATAAAGACCACCAAGTTACTACTTACCATTACAAAGCAACTTACATGGATACTTCAATTGATTCTCGGGTGACAGGCCTGGCAACTACAATGTGGAGTTTCACCCTCTTATGGGGGTGATGATTCCTTGTGGGCACCATGCACTGGTCCTTTCACCTAATGCCATTTGTGGGCAAGGAATGCAAAGAATCCAAATGAAAATCAAAAGTGATATGTGTTCCCCATTGAATTGGAATCACAATGATAAAGTCAAATACACATGACAATTCATAGTTGTGTGTTCAAGAGTCAAGTTCATCAAATACTGGGGGGCAAAAGGTTTAATGGTGAAATCTATCCACTATACACCATTCATCTTAAACAAGTACTAAAACAAAAGCACCTGTCGGCCCTGACGTCTATCCCATCTCAAGGATAGACTAGCAACTGCAAAATGTCATTGATCCAGAGCAGCAGAAATGCCAGAAAACATGTAGTTTTGTATCAAGACTTCAAACTTTATAAGGCGGATATAATGCATACACACCACATAAAAACTCATAAGAATTTGAGTTTATAGAAGGTGGATATCATAAGAATGACTAAATTGTGGCTACAGAGGGGTTAAGCTACAGAAGGTCGAGGAGACAAAGTGGACCTACAAAAGTTTCAAAAAGTATAACGTATGGACAAATTTCTCAACCAGGAGACAGACGGCAAAAAAAAAAAAAAAAAAAAAAAAAAAAAAAGTGTAACTAAAAGATATACAAAAAGCAACCATGATAATCCTAAGCCACCAGTCAGAAATTCAATCTCCAGAATAGATTCACCTTAATTCCAAATTAGCGCCAGGATCACAGTGATGCCAATGAACAAAAACAACCACTTCAGGTTGGAATCTGCCTGCTGTTGCTGGTTTGTGTGCTGAGGGAACCCATGAGCATGTCCACCATGAAATGTGTTACCATACCCAAAAGGGAAACCAGCTGATGTTCCATAATTGGCAGAATTGGGGTAACCGTTCAGTTGAATGTTAAACAATGACGGGAAGAGTCCACCAACAGCTGCAGAGAATGTGAAGTTGCCAAACCTAGCAGTTGCCATGGGGCCAAATCCTCCAAACCCACCCGTGAATCCAAAACCATGCTGTGGAAAAGCATTCGCATCTGGCGGTGGGGCAGCAGTTTCAGGCCTCTGTCCTGTGGGACGATGAGGAATTTCCATTCCAGGAATAGACTTAGACCTAGGATCGGTCGAGTTCTTTCCCCTGCCATACAAAGGAACCAACTTCTCCTCCTCAACGAGCGCCTTACACACCGGGCATTCTTTAGAATGTGAGTGAATATGAAGCCATTTGTAAAGACAAGGCCAGCAGAAGAGGTGACCACAAAGTGTAACAATTGGGTCTTGTGCCAAGTCAAAGCAAATATTGCATTCAAAATTCCCAGCATCACTTCCATTATTACCATTGCTGCTAGATGAAGAGGGGCTTGGGGGTGCCCTATTGGTCGATGGTTCCCCAAACCCACTAGCCATGTTACCACCTCAAAACACTCTCTAAATTCCCCTATACACATACAATTAGCCAAAATCCAAGTTAGACGAACCAAAAAAAAAAAACAAATTCTATCGTTAAATCCAATCTTAGAACATCAAACACCGACTATTAATCATCTCTTCAATCAATCGCATGTGTACAACTGAAAATACTAGAAATGATCATAACAAACACGAAATCAGAAGACAACCTACCATTTCTGAGCACCGATAATCAATTAAATATAAGTATTAACAAAAACTCAATTGAGATCAAAAGCACAATGGGTAAAATCGAGCATAACCAACAAGCAAACAAGCAGCAAAGCAACTAACAAATAGAATTGACATGAAAAATAGAGAGAGGGATTACCTTAGATAGTTAGATGGATATGAAAGATTGATCGAGGAATCGATCAGCCAAAACCAACCGACCGATGCAGGATTGAACGCTCCCAGATCCGATGACAAGGAATAAGCTCGTCTCTTGCAATTTTAGTCTTCCCGGAAACGGAGAATCTGTCCGGGAAACGTATCTATGAGGGAGAGAGAATCAGTTGGGTTAATGGGCCTCAAAGAAAATCCAAAATTACAAGATTAGGGCACGTTTCGGCCCAACTAAAGATAACTCAATCGTTATGTTGTGGAACTGTGTCCACTTTACAAGGTAAACACGATTCTGTGTTCATAATTACGAATTACTAAATTATATGTTCATAATTATAAAACTATATATTCATAATTTTTGAACATCATATTCATAATTATTGAACTCTATATTTACAAGTATAAAACTCTATGTTCATAATTATAAAGTTATATATTCATAATTTTTGAACTTCATATTTACAATTATTGAATCTCTATATTCATAATTATAGAACTATATGTTCATAATTATGTTCACAACTCTATGTTCATAATTATTTAACTATATGTTTAAAATTTTTGAACTGTATATATTCATAATTTTGAACAATTTTGGAACCGTGTCCACCTTGCATAATTTGCCAAGATCAATATTGCCAATTAAAGCCATGTTGCAATTTTCGCAATTATTATACCATGAACCAGAGTTCATATTGCATGTCTAAAAATTATGTGTCTGCAGTTAACATATTATATTCTTGCAAGTTAATAGTTTTTGTACCTGTAAACAAATTGAAGATACATAACATATAATTACATAAACATACAGACAAATAAACATGTTCATTAACAAACACTTTCGCGAAATTAACGAACACTACTAAACGCTTAACAAATGAACACATACAAGATTTTCAAAAAGCTTAACAAACGAACATAAACACGAACATTTTAAAAATCTTAACAAACAAACACGAACAACCTCCGTTCGTTCATGTTTGGTTTGTTATCGGCCTTAAGTGCAACTGTCATATGAAAAAAAAAAAAAAAAAAGATTTTTATGAAAAGAGTAAATACTAAAATCTCCATCAAAATATAATATGAGAGCAAATTTTTTTTCTTTTCATTTTCTGAAGGCCTTTGGCCGAATAGTATTCTCCTATTTAACATTCATTACTTTCTCTATAAAGAGACCTTCATTTTTGAAAGTCCAAAAAGAAGAAAGCTACTCTACAATGGCGAATGGGCACTTCGTGCCACATTTTCCCTAAGCCCGGTAAGAAACTATTCACTAATGAAACATTACACTTGAGCCAATGAAAAAGATGAAAAACAAGAAATTGCACTACATCTGCCTACAATTTACATCAAACTCCCACGAAAAGCGCTGCTAAAATTTCCGCAACTCGTCCCACCCAGTGCACACGCCTTCGCCCTCGCCATCGTTGCTAAATAACGTCTGGTCTGAGCAGTCGAGCGACGCTCCACACGCAAAGTTATACGACTGGCATGCTGAGTGGCACACCCGCAACCTGTTGTCACCGTCTTGATCGCACTTCTGGATCGAGATCTGGTCCGTACAGGTGGAAGTTACGAGTTCAGTGGGTATTCTAATTTACGAGTTAATACCATCTGAGGTCCGGTTTTGTCAAGTTTAGTCCTAAACTTTCAAATTGACCACCTGTGGTCCTTCGACTTTCAAATTGTTATCATCCGTGGTCTAAGTTAATCACCCATGGTCCTTCCAACTATTAAATTTTAACCAATCATGGTCCTTTCAAGAGGACCACGACTGGTTAAATTTCGAAACTTGAAGGACCATGGGTGGTTAACTTGGATCACGAATGGTTAAATTTGAAAGTCGAAAGACCACAGATGGTCAATTTGAAAGTTTTTTAGGACTAAACGTAGCAAAACCACTATACTCAGAGGACCTCATGTGGCATTAACTCTATAATTTATTAATTTAAAGTGAATTTGAAAACTTTTAGTGGCCATTGATAAGTGATGTAAATCGGGGAACTAACCCAACAAGCTAGTCGCTTGGAAGCTCCATCGCAGTCTCGACCTCTAATAAGGTTCAGGATTTTTCGAGGGCCAGCCGGGAATAGTCGGTGGTAATTGGGCATCACGACTACCTCTTCAAGCTGCTGCAAGATACTCAACTCGCTCGGGGCGCAGTGTTGCCCGAGAGCATCCTTCCTCAAAACGTCTTGGCAAACCGAAAGGCTCGGGAGGAGCATCGAGCTGTTCTGGCACGTGTAACCGGCATAGTCAGAGCAGCGGAACTCACAAACTCCATTGTCACAGACACCGCCATGAAGGCTGCACTGTTCATCGCAAATAGCTGCAAATCACCCACTCTACCGAATTAATGTTGAATCAATCAATTTATGATAAATGCTCTATTAGAAAACGGACTTACCTGTGGAACAATCAATGCCAGTGAACCCGTTTTCGCATTCACAAACACCATTTCTAAGGCATTTGCCGTGCTTACTACAATTGCCGGGACAGGAACCTGCCGATTGAAAGCAACATGAATCTCAAATACAAATACCAATTAAGAAATGGAAGTTGGACGAAAAAGGACAAGTAGCTCACGTTTACTACAATCACGTCCCTCGAACCCCAGAAAGCAGTGACATTTTCCATCTATGCAATCCCCGTTGGAATTGCATGAACTGGGACATTGATCAGAAACAGAGACTGGCTTTACATGACAAAGCTCGTGATAAGCGGGGCAGATCAGCTCGCCTACAATTTAGAAGAAAATAAATAAAGTAACAATACAAGGCTATGATTCAATACAAGTAGAAATGATTGCAGAAAACAAATACCGTTAAACCCAGGAAATATGACAGGTCCACCAGCAAGTGGGCAAACTTTCCAAACGCCATCTACAGCAACCTGAATGATTAAAAAAAAAAAATCAGAAACCAATTTACACAACTTCATGAAACCTCATTTTTCCTTTTTTTTAGCCTTTATTTATTTCGTTTTTCCATGTGACTTTACTCAATTTAGTGTCATCCTACCACCAAGCACAAAATCATACATCGATCAAGAAGTGCAATGAGAGGAGAAGACTATTAAGTTCTGCATCATACCTGTAATGAGTTGTTCAAACACCTGTGCTGATAACAGCCATTTCCCTGGGTCATAGAACCACGTACAAACCCAGTGCGCACCAATGATGAAGCCATGCACCTGTATGGATGTAAGTAAAAGCTTCCTCAATTCTAGCTCGGTGAATGGTGAAGTAAAATGAATAAAAAAGAAAAAAAAAAAAAAAAAAAAAAAAACCCACCTTGAATTTTGAACAGATACTACAATGTAATAGAGTTAGTAGCATTCAAAAAAAAAAAAAAGAAAAAAAACCCACCTTGAATTACTTCCCCTCACTTCACCTAACATCTGGTCGGGAGCACGTGCACCGTTAGTGTCTGTACATGATCCGTCAGAGTAAGCCACAAAATATGTGCAATAATCAGCTAATGATGACTGACCACCTGCAGGAGCCATGGAAAGAGCCGCTAGAAGTCAGTAAAGTGAAATGAAATGGAAAGAGTGAAGGTGGTAAAATGGAAACTACATATTACATTACCTCTGTTAGCCTGTGGAAAATAACGAGCCCATTCAGGAAGATCACCGCTATAATTTACAATAGGACAATAACCTTCTGCCTCCCTGTTATATGTACATCCAGACAACTGTGTTGAGTTGCAATGATATGGCCCCTTCCACTGATTGCAGGGGGAAGTAACAAACTCGGTGCCTTGGTTGCGGCCCCAGTCAAGCCGATCAGCCATGCTGTAATTAGCTCGGTACCATCCACTGTCCTCGAGTAGAGCTAGTGTCATTTTTGAAACCACTGATCTTGTATCAACTGAGCCAGTCATGATCTCGTTCATCAAAAGTCTTTTCTCCCAGTGAGATCCTGCAGAAATTTTTCCATAACATTCTAAGTGAGTTGAAATTTTGATAACTTTGTAGCTCATATTAACGACCTAAGAAATGCTACAGCTAAGGTAAAATGCTATGGAAAAGGGATGTTAAAACCAAAAAGCCTTTGACTTTATGAAAAACATGTTTAGAGGGTAGAAGAAACAGGGATGATCAACCTGATGTCCCACGTCCACCTCCATCTTCAAGCTCTAATCCAGTAAAATTTGCGGAGAATGCCTGCCAGTTTAAAAATTGCCAAGGCATTGATAATCTTAGTTACTCGTTCTTGTTATAAGGCCATATTGCAAAAAGAAGCTAACTACTGTATTTGATGGAAGAGAATATCTAGAGAAATAATTTACCCCATAGTGATAGCGAGCATGCATGATCACTCGAGGAAGCACCACTCTTGTTACCATTCTTCCAAGCTTTTCATCCATGGCTTGCTCAGTTACCTAAAAGTTAATTCTTGCTCAGTTGAAGCAGACATGAGGTAGTAAATACAATGTTGTAGGTAGACACCTCCACATCCCCTCCCAAACCCACCCCACCCCCAATGCACAGGTTGATTTTTTTTGGGTGTACCCAGGGTTTCCACCATCAGACACAGTGACTAATTCCCTCGCTGAATTGTAGGCACCTCTTTTGGATGGGACAGCTGGCCTGGAGATTTAAGGCTGCTCCATACCCAAAGCCAAGGATCGAACCCTTGACATTTGGTTAAGGATGGGTGAGTCCCTTCCACTCAACCACACCCCCCAGGTTCAATGCACAGGTTGATGAAAAGCACAATATGAACACAATGACGAGAAAAAATAGGAATCTTTAATTGTGAAGTAATGGAGTAGAAAAATGAGTGAAACAAGGTATAATGTTATGGTGTTTTTTCTTATCTGCAAGGGAATAAAGCAAGGAAACAATTAACACACACCTGAATACGCCTTCTCTTCCTCTCATCACGAAAATGTGCAAAAGCATGTGGGTCAAATCCTAGAACATGCATAACCTGCAGAAAACCAAAGTTATACATTAGCAGTGGAAGAGAAACAAACGTTAACACAGCAAAGTATACAGGCATAAATACTTACCTCGTGTATCAGACTAGCTGAAAGTAGGGTTTCCGCTTCAGCAGTCAAGTGGCGAGGAGCAACATTAACATGCCCTGGAAACAGGATTGAACTAGTTAGGTACGTAAACACTAACAGTATGAACTT